TTGTTATAATTCTGTACACTTTGGTACACTAGCACCAATATATTGTAAAGTTCCAGTATATTTTGAAAGCTTTCATGGAAGATATTTCAGTGCATCTCTCTCTGTCACTAGACTTTTATTGAAAATCAGAAATGGAGTGTTTGAATTTCCTGGCAGGTTACTGAAGTGCTCTGAGCACATTTTAGGGGGGTGGGCGGTGAGTGTCAAAGCCAGCACCAAAAGGAAGTTTTTCCATAGATTTCTGGGGACGTACCACACGTTTTAAATGCAAATATCAGCTGGAAGAGCTACAGAAGAATGAACAATTGGCTAGCTTTGAAGTCTGTGCAGAGGGAATAAAGTTCTTGAATTGAGAATTTTCTGAAGAGAAAAGAATCTGTTTTTCAGCTACTCAGTTTGAGCCCTACACTTTAAACTTCTGCTGTGTTTCTCCCCAAGTGCTTTCTCCACTGAGCCTGGGCCAGCCAGCACCGTGCTGTGCCACATGCTGCTGGTCCACCGTGCAGCTCTGTGCCTCACAGCCACCAGGTGAGAGGCATTCATTGCTGCTGCTCTGCAGTTCCCTCGCTCCCCTGCTTCGAGCTGGTTCCTGCTCTCAGGGCTGGCCCTTCCAGCCTGCTGCAGTAGCTGCTGTAGGAGGAGGCTGCCAGTGAGACCCGTAAGCCTCAGAAAGGATTGCTACATAAACAAGAAGTGAATCATGGTTATGAGTAAGATAAACAAGGCAGCGTGAAAACTCTGTTTTGTTTTGTATGGTGTTTTGTTGGATTTATTCCATTGCTGGAATTCCCATTCTTCATTCATATATTTTTAGAATTATGGAACATTTGACTATATTAGAAGTGCTTTGAGGTTGCCTTTGAGTTTCTATTAGTGAAGAAGTCTGAAGTCAGAGGGATTTTCCATGTCTCTATTTTGTATATCAGATGGAACCTTTAAAATTCTTCATTCTTCCCAGTCCTGGTCCATCTGTGATTAGTAATTCAGAGGTATATGTAGATAAAAATGAACTTGAACTCATGCCACTCAGAAATTAAAATGAAACGAGTCTTATTTCTCTCTAAGCTTCTTGTGAATCATTGAAGAAAGCCCTGATACAGATAAGCAGCTTTTCAGCTGAAATAGTTTGCTGAAATGATTCTCCACTACTTTCTCAAATGCCTCTATTTCTCATGTGCTTTAGATTCACTTTGCATATTTTAATTTGACTTCACTGCGCAGTGTTCTTTGCCCACATGGCTCAGCATTTGGTGCATTCTCGCTCCAATCACGTCCAGCCTGGTCACCTGCACCTTTGTGTCAGGGAAGTGCATGGAGCTTGTTAGGTGTGCCATCAGCACAGCAGTCTAGATGCAAGCACTCTTTCTCTGGTGCTTGGTGGGAGGTAAAGGTGGGAGGATAATTTCGACTTCGGTCTCTGCTAGGATGTATCTGTTAGTGTACTGTTAGTTATTAGTTACAGGCATCAGGAATTGTTAACCAGATGTCACGTAAGCAACACTGTGTTAGTTTTTCTTCCCATTTTCAAACTGTAAGTAGTTAAATGAATGGTTCTTTTTTTTTCCCTCTTAGATGACTCCTTGTAGTTTATGATTTCTGGCTACCATCTTTTCTCCTTACAATATCAGTGTCATTTTTGTTTCTGTACAATTCTCGTTAATGAACCTCCCAGCTTATTGTGAGCTATTATATAGCAGAGTTTTGTTTGACAACGGATCCCCTTTGCAGTTTCACTGAGTTTGAGAAGTATTCAAAAAGCCCGAGTCTTGACTTCTTGATCTTTCTTTTTTTCCAAAGTAGGAAAATATACAAATGAGTAGCTCACTTGTATGGGAGTTTAGTTTGTTTGCTACAAATAGATTCTGATGACATCAGGTTACAATATTTGTTGGAATCATTATTTATATCTTGACTTTTTAAGACACCTGGATTTAGAAGTAAAAATGGAACAGTCATCTAATATTTAGATTTTTGTTTTACTTTATCTTCAGAGATTATAATTACATCCATGTTTCACCAAAATGGCAATAATTGGGACTTAAGAAAATTGAGTGTTAGAAAGGAGTTAATGTTTTTCTCAGGCTGTTCTTATCTTTCAAACTGCAGGATAGTTATATCTAGCACTAATTAATTCCCATGTGTGCTTATACATGGATGAGTTTGTCCATCTGCTGGATATATATTTTCAATATGTTCCAGCAAATGTCAGTGTTGCCACGGGTACAATGTACTGCTTTGCAGTTCAAAGAAATTTCTGCATCTCTGCTATTCAAGCTTTGTCTCTAAGATATGCTCCTCCAGTATGAGACTTGTTTTGCAGTAATTTTACTGTTGTAAAACTGCTTTGCACAGTAGTTAAAAGCAAGGTAAAACTCCAGATGTGGGACAGAAGAAAATTAACTTGATAGTGCACTATTCATCTGCTAATTAATCTTGCCCATTCTCTCTCTTCCATTGTGAATTTTAAAATATAGCTGTTAGCATGTGCTGTTGACCGGATCCTCCTACTAGAAAGAAGGAAAAGAAAAAAGAGTGGGCAGATTGTACGACTTAGTTGGAGAGTTGATGATGTCCACTGGCTCTTACCTCATTAAGGGCTTGGGAAAGCTGAGGCTGATCTGATCTCTGTGGGTGTCTGTGAGTCATAAGGAAGTTGGTGAGCATCTCTTTTATACCCTTCTGCTCCTGGTTGGCCAATATTTTCAGCTCTAGGAAATAACACAGAGAAATGAAGAGACAAACTGCCCAGTGTTCACTGAAGAAGACTTGCTATGCAAAGTTCATCACTGATGTCCAAGGCAAAGGAACAGGGCAGAGAATGAGTTTCTGAATGCTGTTGACATGCAGTGCCAAAAGTAAAATGTTTTGTGTATGCATCCAAAACACTGCTCATGCTAGGAAAGCCCGTGTTGTGTACTTTGTGAAGTAAATATGATAATCTCCATTTCACTTCTTTATATGTAAAATTATTAGGCTGAATTTTTCTTTCTTGTTCTGTAATGTTTGAGTCTGAACCACATAGTGTATAATGAATTGCATACAACTGGCTGGGTCGAACTTCATGTTTCAAAAATTGCTTTTTAAAATTTTAAAACATCTCAATTTAAAGAAAGTTGGAAAAAGGAAAAGCATCTGTGATAGACTCAAACTTTGAAATTGTGACAAAAAGAAAATTCAAGATGAGTTAAGGAAAGACACAGATGTAAGAGTCGTGCGGTGATGGAAGAAAAAACAGGAAAATAAAAATAAACCCCGTAAATACGATTTGTTTATGTTAAGATTATGTTGATTGTAGTCTTGGGATCTCAGAGTGCTGTAGGTGATTTTATTTGTAATTACTAAATGTCTTTTGGACTCTACAGGCAATGGTTTCTATTTAGTAAACCAGTTGTCAGACATGTAATTGATAGCAGTATTTGACTGTAGATCCAATTACAATTAGAATAATAAGTATGTGGCCAACCAATCCATTTGTTTCCAGTGGACTCTACCTTATTTTAATTTAGAAGCTTACTTGCTTGAAACAAGGAATGCTATAGCAGCTGGCATTCAGCATTGTCTGACCAGGCTCAGGTTATTTTAAGATAACAAATGCATCTGCGTATGACAGCTGAAGGCTGTGACACATGGAATCGTAGAATAGAATTACAGAGCAGCTTGGATTGGAAGGGGCCTCAAAGATCATCCAGCTCTACCCCCTTGCTATGGGCAAAGGTTTCAACACTTTAAATTAGCCTTATAGAAAAAAGATGAAAGCCTAATAAGAATAGTACTCAGATCTTTTTTGTGTGTATGTGTGCGTACATGTACACATTTTTCTTAAATATGGTTATTTCTATATTTACAAATAAAAGCTTATGTTATATATTCTTGATGGGAGACACTGCAATGGAATAATTAATGTTGTGACTAGTTAAGTTGCAATCTGGTCAGAAACGTTGAAAAAAGTATTTTCAAAATGGAGAATGTATGGGGAGGAGATAAAGATGCATTGTTTGTATTCCAGGTGAATACAGTAATCAAGATAATTTTCACAGGTTCAGCTGAAAAACAGATGAGCAGACTGTTTGTTTTCTTCTCAAAGCAGATGGTTCTGCCAGTTGAAGACACTTACAGTTTTATTTGCTGAGTAAGATGAAGAAAGGATAAGTCCATGTGAACTATAACTCTTTGAAAAAGGCAAACGGCTTTGGTCAAAGACACATAACATATTACATGGAGTTTTCGTATCTCCTTTATGCCAAGATGCTCCTCATTTCTAATTCCATCTTGCTGCAAGCTGTTCCCTGTGCTTTAATATTTTCTTTCTGGCGATTTGTTTCAAGTTGCAGTAATGTGAGGGCATGTTTTCAAACAATAATATGATTAGTTCTTCAGTACAGATAATCAGATGCAGGTTGTGTGTGTGGAGGTATTGGGTGATGACCTTAGCATGACGTTCCAGCAAAGACCTTCTATCTAAATAAAATTATCACAAAATGATTTATAGTAGTACAGGCCTGTGATATATCTTCTGAAGTGATACATCCAACCATATTATTAGTATTTTAACATTGCTCTGATTCTAAACATTCAGTGTGCAGCAAGTATTGTTGGAAACTAACAGTAGTGGAAGTACATGATAAACTGCTGTGATTTCTTAGGTAGAAGGTGATTTTATTATTTCTTCACTCCTCAGGCCACTGCCAGATTTCATTTTGTTTCTGTGGCCACACGTGCTTGATAGATGGTCTCAAATGCTTTGCTTTTTTTTTGTGTTCTGGCCTATAATTGATATTCCATGATACATAGTTGAGTCTGAGGTTTGTTGTGAATGATTCATGCCTTTATTATTTTTTATTTATACAGCAATAAGGTGGCTGCAGCAGTAAATTAAGTAAAAGATACGCTCAGTCCATTTTAAGTTCTTCCAGGAACAATCCTGATTAAAACATTTAAAGGTTTAATGTTTGACTGAGTAACCCATTGTCTCACTTTGTCTTTTTTCTTCTTCATCGTAGATCTGTGAACAACAACTTCTTCACATAAATTGAAAAAAGTGAAGAAGAGATGGCCAGTTCAGCACGAGAACATCTGCTATTTGTGCGGCGTCGCAACCCGCAGCTCCGGTATACTCTAAGCCCAGAGAATCTGCAGAGTTTGGCATCTCAGGGCACCATGGCTGAGAACATGAATTTGCAGCGTGCCAACAGTGACACTGACTTAGTGACCTCAGATAGCAGGTCTAGTTTGACAGCCAGCATGTATGAATACACCTTGGGGCAATCTCAGAACCTCATAATTTTCTGGGATATTAAGGAAGAAGTTGATCCAACTGACTGGATAGGACTTTATCACATAGGTAAGTCAGAACCTGGCTGAAGTACTTCTGTGTTTCTTGCTTTTTTGTTGTTGCATCATTTTTAGAGATAAGATTGCAGTGGATCACTTCAGGTCATTCTTTGCTTTTCTTAATGCAGTGAGCTATGGGAAAACATCATTCTAATTTCTGTAGATCTGTTCTGTAGTGACTTACTGGAGGGTGAAACGTGTTCTTAAGCAACAAATGTGCAAACAGTTTCCCATGTTTACTTTTGCTGCAGACTAGCTTACTAACCGAAAAAATCCAAGTACTATATTCATCTTGTAATTTGACGTGCAACCTGTGCAATGGTGATGTGGTATTATGGACAAGTAAATTCTCAATGTGTTTGAATAGTTTTTTTCCCCCAGTTCTTTTTAGAACTGAAACTATCAGTTCTGAAAGGGTGAGAATTTCTGTTAATGAAAAATTCTTATAGTAGAAAATCCTCTGAATGGCTTTTTGTTTGTTTGTTTTCTTTGCTTTCTTGCACTGTTCAAGAGGAACATATATTTCATAGGGGAGAGCTGAAGACAGCTAGCTCTAAGATGATGGGCAGGGGCCCGTGGGCAGTGTGTGCATTAGTTAGCAGTGTGGACCAGTAGGTCAGAGCAGTTTGTGCTGTGACACGGACATCAGGAGAATATTTAAGTTGGGATTTTGCCTTGTACTGTGTTTAGTCACAGCCCTGGATCCAGATATTTCTGCTTTGTGTGTGTGGCTTGGAGCTGTCTGAAAGGGCTGGAGTCCATTTATTTGGTAGTATCACAGGCACATGGAGTTTGGTGTCTTTCTGAAGTAGTCCTGTTTGTGCACACTAAAATTACTCTCTGAATTGAGGCAGTACTCAGTAACTGGGATGCTTACATGATCTGTTTCAAATTGGCACTGCTTCTCTGATTTAACTGCTGATACTGGAAGAAACTGTCAATTTAACCTACCAAAAACGAATACAGAAGAAACTGGTGGAGGCAGGTCTGACCACTGGAATTTTGTCCACCTTGTTCCATGACACCCTATTACTGCATCATTTCATGTTCCTTGCTGGGAAAGGCTGTTTCCAGATCTCATTTTATTTGCCTGATTTTTTTATTTTATTTTTTCTTCCAAATTACTGCAGATCTGCAAACTCGACAGTATCCATTTGTGCTTTAAAATTCTGATTCTAAATACACTGAAAGTTTCCTCTGAAGAAAAAAGAAACTTCCCTTCTTTTCTTTCTTTCTTTCTTTTTCTTTTTTTTTTTTTTTAGTTGTAAGTGATGTTATCCTACTTTCATAATTAAAAATGTTTCTACCTTCAGGCCTTGAAGCTCATAAAACACAAAACAAAATTGAGTTACTACAGCTTTTTATAATCCTATAAAGAATAGCTAAATTTAGGCCTTCTTGGACCTAAAAACTGCATATTACTACTGTGTAGTACCAGGGTATGAGGTGTTGTTTTCCTGTATTTCTTGTTAAATAGTGAAAGATCTGGGAACTCCTTCAACATCTAGCTTTCTTCTTCCCTGCCACTTGATATCCATCAGCACAGATGAGAGTTTTGTTACTGATTTTAAAATAGATCTGAACAGAAACTTTAAGACTGATGGCTACATCATTTTGAAGGGTGAAATCACACATTTTGCACAACCTGAGAGGAAAGGGTATATTCAGCCTGATAGACGTGGTTTGTCTATCTTTTTTTCCTTTTATAAATAATAAGTATCTAGCATACTTAAAAATAAACATCTACATCTACAAGTGTGTGATCTAAAAGCCTTTGATTTGCATGATTTTTAAATATCTAAACAAGATATAGAGGTAATATACAGTCTATTTTTTGTAAGACAATATGACATATTTTAGGAATTGCTCCTGCAGGCTTTGGTTCTGAGATGCTTGCATGTTTTTACACTGATTACAAGGAGAAAACCAAATTGGCCCAAAACACTGTTTGGTATAATCCAGGATTTTCAGTCCCTTGTAATACTCAGTATAAATTTAGTACTTAGGGAAAGTGAGAACACTTTCATTTTCTTAGGAGGAGGATGTTTATGGGTTAATATATTGAAAAACAGAAGCTTAGTTCTCAAACACATTGTTAAGATTTGAAGTATCGCTTAAAGTTTTCCATTCTGGTTCTTCTTTCAAATGGAAACCATTTTGCTTGCAAAGTTGCTGTCCTCTGGCACTGCCTACTGAAAGCAGCGCAGATTTTGTGCAGTCACTGGCACGGGACAGCTCTGGATTTGTGCCAGCCTGATGCTGTACCTGCAGTGTCCCAGCACTTCTAGTAAAGCACCATTTTTCAGAGAGCTAGGAATAGAAAAAGGCAAATGTTTTGACCTTATTAAAAAACAAAGAAACAAAAAATGACCAAAACCCACCATCACCAAAAACACAAAAACCTCACGTTTCATAACTGAAAGCACATTCCTGTGACTTTTTTTTTTTTTATGCTGGTTGTACAATTAGCTTTTATAAAGAAAGCTGGATCCCTGTTTGGACAGGGGGAAGAGTGGTTGTCAATTCTCTAAATGAATAGTTGGGGAAATTCTGAAAATGAAAATTATTCTGAGCTGAGGCTTTTGTACAGAGACATCTGTCAGAGGTCAGGAGCAATCCAGGTAAATTTGTCACGTCAAATCAATTTTGCAGAGTACATCCATTGTAAAAGGAATTGAAAATGACACTCTAGGAAACCATCTTCTTCATTCACTAATATATTCAATTAGCTCTCATTATTTTCTATTCAATTCACTCTCATTATTTTCTATTCAATTCACTCTCATTGTTTTCTATTACAAGAAAGTTATTTCTGTGCTTTGAAGTGTGGCTTTACTGCACGGTTCAAATTGCAGTGGGATATTAGGAATTTCAGTGCTTGCTGTATCCCTTTCTTTTTACGAGACTTGGCATACATCACGATGCAAATTCACTCCTGTAGGTACATCAGTCGACATGGTTGATCATAAGGTTGTCAGTAATCAATAACTGTTTTTCCTGCTATGTGGTGTGGATAATTGCCTTGCAGTGGAGGATAGTAGGTGGAGGTTTTTCTTGGTGTATTATAGAGTCAGAGAAATATTTAATCTTTTAAATGTTTACGAAAATAAAAAATATTTTTTTAAGGACATATGGATTTTTTCCACATTTGTGGGGAAAAAAAAAATGGGGGAGAAATGTTAGGGGGAAAAAAAAAAAAAAAAAAAGGAAAGGGGAAGAAAAAAAAAAGTCCTCTGTGGAAAAAATGTATTTATGTGCCCAGGTGGACAAGAAAGCCAGTAGCAACCTGGCCTGCATCAGAACTTGTATGGCCAGCAGGACTGGGAAACTGCTTGTCCCTCTGTGTTTGGCACTGGAGAGAGTCCACCTCAAGTAGTGTGTTCATTTTTGGGCCTCTCCCCTGATACTGCCTTTCTCGAGTTTGTGTAAAGAAGAGCATCAAAACCATTGAAGGGACTAGGAAACAGCACTATAGGAAGAGCAGCTGAGGGAAGTGGGTCTATTCAGTCTGGAGAAGAGGAGGCTGAGGAAAGGCCTATAGCTACCTAGAAGGTGGTTGCAGTGAAGAGGATGTTGGTCTCTTTCCTAGGGTGACAAGTGATAGGATGTGAAGCAGCAGTTTCCAGTCACGCCATGGGATGTTTAGATTGGATATCAGGAAGAATTTATTCACAAAAAGTGTGGTTAGGCACTGGAATGGGCTGCTGAGAGAGTTGGTGGAGTCAGCATCTCTGTAGGGCATGGACATGGTGTGGTTCAGTAATGGACTTGCGCTGTTAGGTGGTGGTTGAAACTGATGATCTTCAGGGTCTTTCCAACCTAAATGATGCAGTTTTGTGAAAAAGATTGCAGTCATTCACTATCATGTCCTCAAGATACTCCTCTCTGGTAACTTTTGATATTTAGTTTTTCAATGTAAGCAGCTGAACTTAAGTATGAAAAATATCTATGTAGAATTCTGTATTTTAGTAATGTTTTTAGATTCATGTGGCTCTTTCTTTAGTCCCATATACTTATCTTCCAATGTCACCATCTTTTTCAGCTGAAGTCTGGTATGATTTCTTCTTGAGGGTAGTTTTGTTGAGTGTCTCTTTCTTTTCCAAATGTATTCCTAACAATTAACAAAAGAAAAGTGTGAGTGAGGGAGATGGTGCCTTCTGTGGAGGAAAGCATCTGTTTTTTTCCTGACTATTTCAGGTTTTATAGTGAATCAATTCTTTAATGTGTCAGTACCACTTCTTGAACAGTCTTGTCCTTGAAGGTCTATTAAAGCAGCTTTTTAGCTCCACAGGCAAGGTAGGTGGAGAATGTAGATTGTACATCCATATGAGCACAGAAAGGTATCCCACTGAGACTATGTGAAAAGGAGAAGTGGTATTGCTGAGTATTAGCTCTTTGGGTAAATTGAGCTCTGTTGCGTGAAACCTGAAGTTGCTGAATATAAAATACAGATTTATCATTTTGAATTTAGCTTTAAGTTTGGCTGGAATGGGCTTTTCCTATCATCTTCAGGCCTACTAGTGAGGATTATCAAGTGATAGTGACAGGGCAGGATGAAGTTCAGAGGGAAACATTGTAGTGGAGGTGCTGTGCTTATGCCTGATCTGAAGAGTAAAGGTCAATTTCCAGTGTTCTATCTTGATAAAAAGAGGTCAATTCTTTTTTTTTTTTTTTTTTCTGGAGCAGCATTGGACTTAGACTGAAGGCTTTCCTCGTTTGAAGCAGTAGATGACAGAGTCCTGATTATGAAATGAGATACATGCTCCTTTTCTAGAGAGACTTAGCACATTTAAAATGCTGGTTATCAAAGGTTATTTTTATTTCCCTCAGCTGTTTTACACAGGCTGCTTGAATTTTTGTTGCACCTGCAGCATAGATACTCAATAGCCTTTTTAAAAAACAAGAAGGCATGAAAGATAGAAAAATGTGATTCTGAGCTATGTAGGACAACTTAGATGGGATCTACATTTATACTAAGCCTCCTAGGGTAGTGAGGTTGGAGCTTTTCCA